TTGTAAAACAATCGTCCAGACAAGATATATCACACCAATATTATCAAACTCTGTAAGCAATAAATCAACTCTGATTTCATTTTTGCAATACAATCAAAAACCGGAGACGCAAGACGGCAAGTTGTATTTGAATGAAACAAGAGCGCGCGTCCGTTGTGATATGGATGTGCGCTGTGTAATAATGTGTTGTTTGACGAGAATGACGACGGGCATTATAAAGAAGCAAATGCCATAGAATAGAATCTTGCTTAACAAACTGCATAGAGAGGCTTGTTTTATTTGTTGTTTGTTGATTTTCAATTATAAAAACTTGTTGAAATGTTATAAGTGTGAGCATCAGTTCTTTTTGAGCACTTTCATACATTTTTAACAAAACCGTGATAATATTGATAATCACGATTATTTTGGACACTATAATCGTGATATGAAATTTTCATACCGTCCCATCCCTAATCCGCGCCACTGATCACAGCACTTTGGTCACTTGATTTCAAAAACACACTTCAGATCGCCTCTTATTTACAGTAACAAACGGACGAAATGAATGCTCTACTAGAGTTTACTGGAGATGTTTTTATTTGTTTGTAATGATACATTCGTGCCGCAAGATGTTTCAATGGGGACATATCACACCCGCAAATTACGCCTATAGAGAGCCTATAAGTCCCTCCACTTGTGGTCGCCCACCATGGGACCTTATTTCGGAAAAATATTGAATGGTAGTCAATGGCGAGAGACAACAAATTTTTGATCTCGTTTGAATTGTGCCCTGAATTACACATATGATGTTTATCAATTTAAAATATACATTTTAAAGTAAAGAAAGTCGCAGTTTGATGTAAAACCGTTGAGGTATAAGACTGTGAAAATACGTAATTACAAAGACTACAAACCCCAAAGGCGCACATTTTCTCTCAATGAATGAAGCTAACTGTTACTTTACTGAGGCTGTCTGTCATTGTTTCTACAGTCTTGCGTTATAATCGTAACATTACGCGTCCTGCCTGAGTGTTTTGTACAAGACTGCACACACACGAGCAGCGGATCTCGTTTCGCTTCCCGGGATATGTAGTTCACAGAGCGATTTTCACATAAAACTAAATGTTACTCTCCTGTTTTATGACAAACTGCGACGTTTTTGACTTTCAGAATTATCTTTTAAATTGATAAACATCATGTGTGTAATTGAGGACACAGTTCAGACGGAATAAAAAGATAAGTTGTCTCTCGCCATTGACTACCATTCATATTTTTTCCGAAATAAGGTCCCATGAGCCGGAAGCGGAGAGGCGGGACTTAGGCTCTTTATGCTCGTGTCTGACTCTTCTCGGTCTGCCGTTTCCTCTTTCTCTGTTCCTCCGACAATGCTTTCCTAGCTTTCTGCATCTTATATGCCGGCTCAGCCATGACGATAGTGTGACACACTCTATCCCTCTCTACATTGTTCCTGGATGGGAGTGTGTAAGTGTGAAGTGCGTAAAGGAATATGTTACATCGAGAGATATCACGCAACACTTCCTGATGCTGAGGCCGGCGGCCGGCCACACCAAAGTTGCAAGTGAGATTTTTCCGTCAGGGTGAATACTTCATTCAGATACATATACTATGCCTACTAATAAAACAAATTATTTTTACCTTTTTGGAGAATTTGACATAAAATACGTTAACTTTCCGGCTGGGAAGTTAGCTAAACTGAAGGGGTCTACGAGCTGAGCGGAATATAGACCCTTTTACAGTTGGTAGAGCTTAGGTGGAGGCAGAAAGATCCCTCTGGCCACTTCACTAACGCAAGGATTAGTTAGCAAGGATTGTTAGCTTGTTTTAGAACAATGACTGGAGAAAATCCGATATTATCTTAATGAGTAAGGTCACTCAGTGTCCAGGACCGCCATTGTTATTTCCAAAAGTTATTTTTAACGGACGGAACCAGATTGGCCGACTCGTAGCCGCCTACACGCTCACTCAATGCATGGACGATCTGACAGGATTAACGTTACGTTACCTCGGTTGAGTGGCCTGACTTCTAACTTACACCTACCTTATAGAGAAACCGATCGTAAAGAGAAACTGAGGGCATATAAATCTTTAGATGCCTATATGGTCCTGTACAAGACTTGTGTGTACGATCCGCAGTTCTGCCGAGACCACGACAATGTAAAGAGTGACATTACAGTGCGATTTTAATGATGTGAATATTTTCTAGAAATAAAAGTTCCAGATACAGCATATTCATTTTTCATCAGTTCTTGCACCAAACAACACAACAAGATGACATTTAATAATAGTAACAATTATTTAAGCTCTTTATTATGTAGCCGAATCTGTGCTGTTTTGTATTGGCCGCCTCCAGTTTTCACTTTGCTTTGCCTCCAGCTAGCGCCGTGACGTAACTGTGACGTCGGCGCAAAAGGGGTCTATAAATATCTCCTGTTGCTAAATAAAGCGTCAGGCGTAACCAGGGAAACCAAGTTATTGTTTGTAAAACCTTTTTATTTTTCGATTGTAAAATTAATTAAAATATAAACTAATGTTTTAAAAATGTGTTATTTGGAAAGTGACCGTGGTATGAGCGGGTTAATGCCATTCGAGGTGTCCACTGCGTGACTCCGTTGCGTGACAGACGGTTCACGCCTCGCCGTTGTCCATTAATACCTGACAATGGACACCTCGTCGGGCATTAACCCTTACTTGTCGGGCTGATAACGATAACATTAAAATTGAACCGATATCAGCCGATACCGATATGGTGGCCGATATATCCTGCATCCCTACAGTTAACACTGCACTATACTGGTCTTTACGTCTAAATGTATAAAATTATGTTCCCGAGAGAGACCCAGGGCCCTATCTTGCACCCCGCGCAAATGACTTTATACACAAACGCATGGATTTTTTTTTTACAAGCGGGATTTTTCCCTCCACAGACGCGCGTCGGTAAACTAGGGAGTGAACTTGCGCTCTCTGGGCGGATCGGCGCAAAAAGGAGGAGTGTTTCGGGCGCGAACATTCCCTGGTGCTATTTTACACTTCCAGAAAACAATTGCGCCGTGTTGCGCGTTGTTCATTATGCTATTTTAAGCGCGCATGCTTGGCCATAATGTAGCGGGTACACAACGCGCATACACTGATTCTCTCATCAACACAGATGCAGCTGTTTTTATTTTTGCAAATCATACATTACAACAAGGAAAAATATTAACACATAAGGGAAATCATTGTGGTTCATGAAGATAAAAAAAAAACAAATTACCCATTTTTTAAGGCTAATTGTAGTACTGAAAGATCAGACCTGTTTGCCCAAAAGTGGCAAGAAACATACTATAGGCAATAATGTTTAACCGACGCTGATGTGCGAGAGTTTCTCCCATCCCCATACAACGTCACCTCTCTGTCTTTCACTGTCCTGACAAGAACGTCGGTCTCCTCAGCTGTGAACCGCTCCTGGCGCACGCCTGGTAAACCCGCCGTTATAATAACAATCCGTCATGCAACATGCGCACTTGATCTTAATAAAGGGTATGTTGGATGGCGCTCGGATTGCTTTATTTCACGTTACGCCCAAACCAGACCTATCAGTGATGCGCGGGTCAATGTATAAACAACCCGCAACCGACCGACGTTTTCAGCTACCCGCCCGCAACTCGGACCGTAAAAAAATATTGTACCCGACCCGCTTCCTGACAGCATTTTTTTAAAGTAGTAAATGCTCATCGGAGCGTTATTAGGCCATAGACGTGCAACAACACAGCATCGCAAGAAGACGTAGGCCTACACATAACAAAGGCAAAGCCAGTCATCATCTTTCATTATTTTTAGCAAATGTCTCCCACACTTTTATTTTTTCTATTTGTGTATTTGCGGAGCTTCCACTCCCCAGTCTTCACCTTTTCTCTTGCCGCCTCCATCTCTCTGCAGACTGTAGCGATCATAGACATGGCCGAACCAGGTCGAACCAGTACACTAAATCGAACTGAATCGTTCGAAACGGTTCGCGTCTTGCGTCAGGGCTGATCCACAAGTTACTAAAGTTACTCACTTTCAGACATGCCTGACAGTCGCCTCCGAATCGAAATAAATCAATATCCAGAATTATATTTTACTCCAGTAACTCCAACAGTTCACTGAACCGAGACATGTTGGTGCCACTGTTGAGAGAAGTAATGAGCACGAGCAGCTGATACTGTGTATACCGAACGCACAGGGACAGTGGTTCTCGAATCACCAGTATAGAACCGAGAACTGTTAGACTGAGCTTGTGTGTTATCTTCGTGCCAGTTATTCAGCCAATAATGTGTAGGGCTGTATATTATTTCATCAAAAATTGTGTCTAGTACTTTATACAAATGTTTAATTGGCATCTTTTTTCAAACGACCCGACCGACCGCGACCCGAATATCATTAAAAACATTTTTGGATGACCCGTAACTGCGGGTGACCTCTAATTTCGGATCAACCCGCGCATCACTGAGACCTATGAATAACGAAGCTACTCCAGACCAACCCCTTTTAGATTTGCGGCAGGCGCAAGAGGCATTTATCCCGCCAGGAAAATAGCAACAGTGCCGGGACCCGCCCACAATGTTACTTGCGCCATTGGCTTTTACGCTTGCGTTTCAGATCGTTAAAATAGGGCCCCCAGTGTGCGAGTGAACCAAGTTTCAATTTATCTCTGTAAAGGACCGATAAGAAACACCGGGATGTGCAATGCTTTTTAGATACGTCAGTGCTTGTTCCTCAAGACTTTGGAAATATGTGGCCGGTTCATAACAGGCTACAAAAAAGTAACTTTGTGTAAGCTAAAAAAGCAAGCAACTGGTTATTTAAGCATTTGTAGAGGCACTTATATAATTGATATGAACAAATAGCTCATTAAGAACATGTGAAATGCATAGTGAATTAATGGCAACCTGCCAAGTACATTGCCGGTCAAAAGTTTTTGAAACGTTTGTAAACTTCCAGCTCTTCATCACTGCAACAGAATGATCTTAAATGGGCCTCACCTTGTGTATGGCAGGTTCAGTGATATCCAAAGGAACCCGGTTCCAGTTCTCTCTTCGGTTCCAGTTGCTGTTACGACCCCACGAAGGCCTTCGCCTCGCAGACAACCACACCATCAGTATCGCCAGCATGAACCCCGCCACCACTCCCGTCAACACCCAACACACATAGGCAGGGAGTGGCAACACAAAGTAACCGTAAACCATCGCTATCAGAAGAATCAATCTGTTGTGGGGAACTCCTGGAGGCTCGTCTTCCTCCTCGTCTTCCTCGCCTCCTTCAGTCGGTTCCTCGCTACTCCCTCGGCGGGCTTGAGATGAGTGGGGTTCTTCCCCATCTAACTCATTACAAAGCTCGAAGTCTTCAGGGTAGAGCTCGCAGAACTCTTCATCTTCCTGACGAGCTAGAGTCGACATGATACATCGGTTTAATCCGAGAGACGGCGATCTGTGAAGAGGCAAGTCAACACTCGCCCCCTCGAGAGGACTTTCCCCGTCCACGTCTTCCTCCTCTTTAATGCAGTAGTTATTGTTGCTCTCCGAGTGGCCGTTGAGAGCAGCCAAGTTTGAGAGTTCAGTTGCGCTGGACGAAAGGTTTCTGGACCGATAAGAGACGCCCGCAGTCGCGCTCCCGGTTTCCTCGCCGATTATCTTGCTGAGAAGCTGGAGAGGCTCGTACATGACCTCGGATAGACGACGCTTCGTGTCTTCGATTCGTGCCTCGACCTCTTGAACTTTAAAGAAGGAGCGGCTATCGGGAGAGGTTAACGGGGATGAGGGGGCGGTTTTGGAGTCGCCAGTGACCGCGGGAACACGAGTTTGGGTGAACGGTTTGAAAAGGTGCAGATTGAGGCGTGAATCCTGCGAGCGATGAGTTGAGGAAGACTCATGTTCGGGTCGAGCAGTGTCCGTGGATAAAGACTTAACAAGGGTTTTCATTAAATGTCGGTGTCTTATCGATTGCGGGGGGGCAGTGGGCGCCTCCACATCAGTGGAAAGAGACTTAACTAGGCTTAGGAACGGCTTCGAAGGTAAAGTAGAAACTTTAGCTGGGGATGAAGTGGATGAAACCGAATGTGTGGAAGGTACCGGTGCACTCAACCTTTGTTCCGAAGGCCATGAGAAGCTAATAAGACTAGAAGTGGACGAGGAACCTAAGCTAACGGAGGGGTGTGTGATCGCCAACGCTGAACTGTGTGTCTGCGAAGCCAGTCCTGTAACCACGTCCACTCCCAATCCTTCAGAGAGAAGCTCCTCGCTGGCCTCCTGAGCCTCGACTACGCCCTGATCTTCGATTTCAAGGCCAGACGGGGAAGCCGCGAGCCTGTAAAGGTCCTCTTCCTCCTCCTCTTCCTCATGTCCTTTGGCTGAGAAGTGTATGGTGATGGTGTCCCGGGAGAGCGAGCGCTGGACCTGCAGCTTACGGGCAGCTGAGGGCCGAGAGGAAGAAGATGATGCTAGGGGGTTTAGTCTGTCTTCATGGTCATCACCCTGACTGGTCATGGCACCACTCAAAAGAGCTCACAGCCTGTGGACACAGAGAAGAGAACGCTTCAATGAAACACACTCTTCATATCGTCTTATAAAACAAACATTCAGCTCAGTGCAACATTTTTACACTCATAAGCCCTATTCGGATGGTACTTGTTTCTTATGCGGACGTCTGTAATCAAATGAATGTGATGATTGAGCATTAGTGATGAACACCTGCTGTTAACAAGCAAAATCACTGAAGGAAAGAGAAACACAAGAACTACAACTGGTTTCAACCACAGCCACAGCCTTAAGCCCTATTCGGACGGTAATTGTTTCTCACGTGGACGACTGTAATTAAATTAGCTTGCACGTCAGTGATAAAACTCATGCATTCGGATGGAGATTTATTGACGGTGGAGGAGCGAGTTGTGTGATCCTACCAACCTAGGAAGTCGCATGATTGTCTGCTGTAAATAAAATGTCATATGCTTGGAATAATGCGAATAAATTCGTATATATGTACATTCGTAAATATTCGTAAATATATACGTATATATTCGTAAATAAATACGTAAATATATACGTATATATTTATTCGTATAAATCATATTAATGTACACTGTCCCTTTTCTAAATAAATAAATAAAATAAAAAAATAAAAAAAATAATGCGAATAAATTCGTATATAATTTAATAATCAGAAAATAATGTACTATTTATTATTTAATTCTCATTTTTAAACATAAGAAGCTAGACACACGTATGTATATTCTAAATGGTTCTTATTTTCTTGCATTTTATCTTAAAAATATGGAAATTTGGTAAACAAAGCTGCTCGGTTTGTATTTTCCTTGTTGTGCATAATAGCCTACATACTTTAAAATCATATGCGTCACAATAATGTCCCATTTCAAATGTTTAGATGCTTTTTTCACTTTCTACTTGTTCGCTGAGGTGGAGTAGTGATGAAATATTGTTTAATAAAAGTGTACATCCCAATAATTTTTACATATGTTTTCTATTTTTATTTAAGTTGGTTGCTATTTATTAATTCAATTTTATTTTTGTTAAGTTTTTATATATTTTTGGATGGGAAAACGTAGCCTGGTTCAACCAGACTAAGGGAAATGAAATTGAGCGGAAGTGCGTAGGAAGGCGCAGCCAGGCTAGGGAAAACGGACAATTAATAAAAAAATTTTGGACAATTAATAAAAACTGAGTTAAAAATCAAAGTGTACATCTTTAAAATCCATGCAAATTGCGCGAAGCTCATCAGTTATCATATGCACAGTGCTCGGCAGTGATCAAAAAGGATTTAAACAGTGAATTTCGAAGTGATCTCTTCTTGTAAATTTAGAGATGTGGATTCGGACGGTAATTAAATCCTCAGACGATCTTGGTGTTTGTCAGAAAACAGAAGGTAATTCGGTTGGGGATTATTACACGGGTGGAAGGAGAAAACACTGACATTCTGGATTCAAACGCCAATAAAATCCATGTAAATGGACAACAACATAAACTATCTCTAAAATTGTGTTTGGTGCATTTGCTTTGGAAATTACCAGTCATCTGAACTAAAATTTAAATTGTGATATGGCTTAGTTCTATAATAAAATTGCATGCACTTGCATGTTTCAGAGTGAAGCGCAGCACTATAATTTCTCTCTAATTTACGAACATGCAGTTTATCATCTACTGTACTGTTTTCAGTGTCTCGGTCCAGAGTAGGAGCGGCAACCTCCATCTCTCTGTGTGCTGTGAGGCATTATTTTTGCATAATTTCTAACATTATTCACTGTTTTTCATATTCACACAATTTACAGCATTTCTCTAAATTTAAAGGCGTTCCCACAGAAACAAAGTCCTCCCTGCAGTTTTCCCACCAAAATAAAAGCCTAAGGTTTAAAAGACAACTCAATATTTAGTCGTTTTAATATTTAGTATTCATATTTAGACAATTAATATTTAGTCTTATTTCTTCTATACCTGCTGTACAGCAGAAACAAACTTTGTTGTGTTATTTTACTGTAAAAAAAATGCTAAAAGCACTGTATACATAAAAGTGAAGTAATATTATTTTGACTGCAGATGAAAACTACACTTAAACTGACTGAATTGAGCTGGACAATGACACTTGTCTTCTATAGAGTTGCTTAATGCTGAATCAAAATTTATTTCACAATTGATGAACTTTGCAACATTATTGGACTGAACTAAAACTATACCGGAGTGGCTTGAGCTGAATAATGGCACAATTTTCTTCTGTAGAGCTACTTTATTGTTTGAAACATTGATTAATGAAATAAACTGAATCAACATTGAAATAAATTGAGCTGAATGATAACATTAATTGTCTATAGTCTTCTTAATTTGTTTCATAATTGATACATTTAGCTCATAAACACTCATTAAAAAGAGGTTTGAGTCCACTAAATGCAATTTATTTTTCTTATGATCTACACAATTCGGACACTAAAGAGGTTGAAGCTCCCAGAATACTCTCAAAAGTGCACCAGATTGACATTGCACCAGCATTTCATTTTTAAATGTGCCAATTTGTCCCCCTTGGAGGATTTGAGGTCCACCAACTACAATCTCAATCTCGTTGGAAACCACAGACAACAAACTTAAAGTTACACTGTGAAGTTTAGTTTCGCTTAAGAAGAAAAGACATCTGTGTGTGCTTTTTGGGGAGTCTGCTTTTGGAAAAAAAAAACTAAAACAGGCTTATCCAGCCAAGCCGGTTCAGCTCAGCGTTTCTCATTAAATTCCTAGTTTTTGGAAGAATAATTTACTCATAATAACACAAAAGATCTCTAACATTGTTTTTGGCGCACAAATTAAATCAAAATATAATTAGAAAAGTTTGTAAAGCAAAATCAAAGTTTCACAGAGATTTATTATTTTTCATTTTTGTTCATCTGAAAAAAAGTCATATAAATTTGTAAAGTCAAAGAGATCATTTTCACTTCTGGGTGAACTATCCCAATAGATTTAAATGGTTCTCAGTAAGTTACAGTGGAAGGGTTTTACACACATTCATGGTCACCCATCAGGCCTTACAAGTCACACTAGTCAACAATACCAGCTTAACCAGTTTCAACCAGAAACAACATCACTCTCAGGTGAGAACTCAACTTTTATTACTGTTTTTTAAATACAAAAGCAAAAATCAACAAACCAACGTATAGGCTTCCCACTTAGACAAACCCTAAAACAAAGAGACTCACCAAAGAAGAGGGTTAAATAAACCCAAAGCAACACAGCAGCCAAAGGAAACATGTGGCCTGTGAATGCGCACCAGAACTAATGATGCAAACAAGGAACACCTGAACACAATCAGGACAGGAATGGGGAAGATGAGGGACAGGAAACAATGAACAAGACTGATCTATCAACAGGGAAACACTTCAAACTAAAAGACACGACATAATAAAAGACATGAACACTACTCGCCAGATACAACTCTTCTTGTTCTTCTCACATTTAAGAGCTCATTAATCTACCTGACTGAAAGTCTCAGATCTCAAAACTCCCATAATCCCAAAAAAAAACAACAACACCAAAAGTTTTACAAATGTTGTGTAGTGAAAGAGCATAATCTGTGCATACTGTGATGATCTCACTTCCGATATTCAATGTTTGATTCAATTATATACAGAAAGCGATACAGTATTGTTCATTATTAGTATTTCTTTTATAAACGGCAGGTCAACACTTTTATAGATGAGACCAAAACAGATTTGATCTTTCAAGAGTATTGATATTCCAACAATATATAACGAGATATTCTCGTTCAGTCAAGTCAAGTCTGGCTGCGTTCAAAATCACATATTTCCCTGCAGGGCCGTATTAAGAGCTCACTGGGCCCCGGGGCTATGAGTTACTGCAGGGCCCCCCCACCACTTTAGGTCACCAACTGAGCTAAATGTTATATTATTATAGCCTACGAGTCATTTTATCCATCTATGATATACTTCACAGTTAAGTTATGTTACTTTTAACATGATTTTTTTATCATATCAAAATGTATTGACTAAAATTTCATAATTATTGTGACCAATTTCAATATCACCAAAAAATAATAGTAGCTTAAGAAAATAATCTCAAGCTTACTGATGACAAGAGTCACAAATTAAAATAGAACAAAGGCACAATAAATCGACCTATATGAAAAACTTAAAGCACTGAATAATATTATATAAAGTAATCAAATATACAATACATGGTTTTCACTATAAATTCAACATTCATTCTTGTTAATTTTGCAAAAGTAATTCAGTCAAATGCAGTAAATTACTTTCTTTCTGATGTTTGATTAACATTATTGACACACATGGCGACAGCAGCTTTATTAGCAGCGTCTGTCACTTTGAGACCTCAGAGTCGGATTCAAGTGCGCTGTGCAAAACCGTCTCAAGTTCACCACAGTCTATGGTTCACCTTGGTCTCAAAACCAGCATTTACAAAATAAATTCTCCCGCTGCTCACTGTGGCTGAGCAGTTTGAAATAATTTGTAATTTTGTATCCAAACCACAACGTTTAAAAACGCGTTTAAATGATAAACTTACATCATGATGGCGCAGCAAAATTTAAATATTTCTACCGGATATATTATCGCCAGTCCTTTAGGCGAATATAGAGTTTAATCAAACACAAAAAGCAAAATTATACATCCATCAAGTTAATATTCAAACTTACCGAAAGTTTGTGGGGTCGATGATGACGCTGTGTTTTAAGAATAGACTAGATTAGAATGAAGAGAAGAGTAAAGGCGATTTGATGTATAGCCTATTCTAATAAGGCGCAGGCAGCAATCATCTATGCCTACGTGCAGAAGCAGGTCGGTCGTTCACAAGTTAAATATAGAATAAATATATTTGTCATATCAAATTAAAACCTGACGTTTCAATTTACCATGGTTTGATTGACAGGTGGCCTGGCCAATCATAACGCCGAATACGCAACTTTGTCCGACAACAAAGCTGTCAGTCGGTGGACATGAACTTGAAAACGGTAATGTTTAAATTACTTAAATGACAATATTTGAA